TGTTGGGTCCTCGTTTTGAAGAGACGTCGCCCCGCGTTCCTTCCTTCCTTCCCGCTGCCCCCTCCCTCCTCCCATCTTCATCATCATCGTCATCATCCCCATCATCGTAATCGTCATCATCATCTGTCGTCATCATCATTATCACCACCCATGTCGGCACACCCCTCACACGTTTCGTGACCCCATAGGGAGCTCCACCGAAGGTCCCAGTGCGTGTGCCCGCATGCGTCCCGCACACTCCTTTCGGCACACCCTTCACACGTTTCGTGGCCCCATAGGGAGCTCCACCGAAGGTCCCAGTGGGTGTGCCCGCATGCGTCCCGCACACCCATTTCGGCACACCCCTCACACGTTTCGTGGCCCCATAGGGAGCTCCACCAAAGGTCCCAGTGGGTGTGCCCGCATGCGTCCCGCACACCCATTTCGGCACACCCCTCACACGTTTCGTGGCCCCATAGGGAGCTCCACCGAAGGTCCCAGTGGGTGTGCCCGCATGCGTCCCGCACAGCCATTTCGGCACACCCCTCACGCGTTTCGTGACCCCTCACACGTTTCGTGGCCCCATAGGGAGCTCCACCGAAGGTCCCAGGGGGTGTGCCCGCATGCGTCCCGCACACCCATTTCGGCACACCCCTCACTCGTTCTGTGGCCCCATAGGGAGCTCCACCGAAGGTCCCAGTGGGTGTGCCCGCATGCGTCCCGCACACCCATTTCGGCACACCCCTTACACGTTTCGTGGCCCCATAAGGAGCTCCACCGAAGGTCCCAGTGGTTGTGCCCGCATGCGTCCCGCACACCCATTTCGGCACACCCCTCACACGTTTCGTGGCCCCATAGGGAGCTCCACCGAAGGTCCCAGTGGGTGTGCCCGCATGCGTCCCGCACACCCATTTCGGCCCACCCCTCACACGTTTCGTGGCCCCATAGGGAGCTCCACCGAAGGTCCCAGTGGGTGTGCCCTCATGCGCCCCGCACGCCCATTTCGGTACACCCTTCACACGTTTCGTGGCCCCATAGGGAGCTCCACCGAAGGTCCCAGTGGGTGTGCCCGCATGCGTCCCGCACACCCATTTCGGCACATCCCTCACACGTTTCGTGGCCCCATAGGGGGCTCCACCGAAGGTCCCAGTGGGTGTGCCCGCATGCGTCCCGCACTCACATGTCGTCCCACCCCTCACACGTTTCGTGGCCCCATAGGGAGCTCCACCGAAGGTCTCAGTGGGTGTGCCCGCATGCGTCCCGCACACCCATTCCGGCACATCCCTCACACGTTTCGTGGCCCCATAGGGAGCTCCACCGAAGGTCCCCGTGGCGCAGTCCACATGCGTCTCCTTTGCCCAGTACAGCGTTACGTGGCCCCATATGGAGCCCCACCGCAGGTCCCAGCCAGCCAGCTAGCTCTCTTTGCTCCGCGCAGCGGGCGACCCGCGCGCGTCGCTGGGACTCCTCCGGGGCGACCTGCGCGCGTCGCGGGGGATCCGTGCTGCGTTCCGCCCAGCGCCTCGCTCGCCCGTCGTCGCTCTGCCCAGCGGCAAGAGCCTTGCCCGCTATCAGCCAGCCAGCTAGCTCTCTTCGCTCCGCGCAGTGGACGACCCGCGCGCGTCGCTGGGACCCCTCCGGGGTGACCTGCGCGCGTCGCGGGGGCTCCGCGCTGCGCTGCTCCCGCAGCCTTGGACTTTTGAGTGCGCGGGCAAAGAGGGAGTAACGGAAGGGGAGGAAGCGGGCGCGATCCTCGCGGGGGGGCGCGCCGACATTGGCGTCGCGGCGCGCGGGCGATGCCGTCGGGGAGTCCCGGGGAAGCTCCTTGCGGCGGCCACGCCCAGCGTCACGAGTATTCAGAGGCAGTCGTTGTCAAACTATTGGCATTCATACACATTTGCACCACGCTTTGTCATATTCGCATTCATGCACGTAGACTCGCTCGCACGCAGATCATTCACAGTCAGACGCACGCGCGCAGATTCACCCGCGCTCAGTCTCCCTACGTACTCAGATCAATCGTTTTCGTTCACTTTGTGTACCACGCCACTCATGTCGGCACGCCCCTAGCACGGTTCGTTGCCTCATAGGGATCGCCACCGAAAAATTGAATCACTATTGCGGTACTCGCACCTGCATATGGTTGGGTCCCTCGTCAGAGCGCTTTTTTTTTTTTTTTTTTTTTTTTTTTTTTTTTTTTTTTTTTGTTTTTACGATTTCCATGGGATCCTATAGGATCGAATGGGATTCCTATACAATCCCTATACGATTCCTGAAAGACTGTTTACGATTCCTATAGGTTCCTGTAGGACCACATGGGATTCTTAAACAATCCCTATAGGATCCCTACAGGATCCTACAGGATAGCATGGGATTCCTACACAATTCACATGCGGTTCCTCTTGGGTCCTATACGATTCCCATAGGGTCCTATAGGATCGCATGATATTCCCTAGCAATCCCTATACGATTCCTATAGGATCCTATTGGATCGCATGGGATCCCCTTACAATACCGATACGATTCCTATAGGATCCTTTAGGGTCGCATGGGAGTCCTAGACAACCCCTATCGGATTTTTATAGGACCTTAATGGGATTACTATACAATCCCTATCGGATTCCTTGAGGATCTTATAGGATCGCACGGGTTCCTGTACAATCCATTTTTTTCTACGATTTCTATCGGATCCTATAGGATCGCATGGGATTCCTGTACAATCCTTATACGG